TAGCAAAGTTCAAGGTATATTTTAATATTTTTTATAAATAAATTATTTTTTGACATCCTTGATTATGAACTTATCATTATTTGAGTTTCTTATTCTTATTTTATTATTTTCTTTCACTCCTTAATTAGTGTAAAGAGAAAATTTTAAAACTAATTTTTTGTGGCTATATTATACTTTAAAACTAATTTTTCCGACTATATGGTTATTTAGTTTTTGTATTTGAAAAAAAAATGGGTCATCTATGTTAAATTTTACAAGAAAATTAGTGAAACAAAAATACATTTGATCATCAAAATAATAACTTTAAATTAGTCGTTGAAACAAAAAAAAATCAAAAAAAAAAAATGTGCAAGGAGGATTAAATATACCCATATGAGATTATCTATATTTTTTTAAAAAACACATTAGAAAAATAAAATTAAAGTTAATTTTCTCACTTCCGTTAGAGGAAAAGGGTATATGTGAGCCATTTGAATAATAGTAGGGGCATATATGAGCCACTTTCATAATGAGGGGTATATCAGCTCTAAATGACAACGTTGAGGGGTATATCAGACCCTTTTCCCTACTTTATATTACTTATTACTTATTAAGAAAATAGTAACATAAATTCAGATTCTACTTATGAAATTATACTTAGGTATGTTGTTGTTGTAAACTAGGAGTGTAGATTCAGATTCTATTTATGAAATTATACTCAGGTATGTTGTTGTTTGTGAAGTAGAAACGTAAAATATATTTTCAAGAGTGTATTCATTTTCACCGAAGGTCTCAAGTTCAGGCTTGAATCAACAATAATAACATATCTAGTGATCATTGTATATTCACACAGTAAAATCTGAAAAGAACTTAAATATGGAGTTAAATTAAAATGATCATCTCAAATTTCTTTATTCTTTCCAATAATCCTAAGTGACCAAATTGTTATTTCTTCTATGCATTTGCAAGTTTTTTTTTTCACAAGCATCTATGGAAGAACTAACAAGAAAATGAAGGAAAAAAGAAATTTGATCATCAAAATTCAAACCAATTAAACCAAATTAATCGTTGAATTAAAGACAAAAAAAAGTTATGTGTGAGAAGGTTTAAATACACCCCTCAGCGTTACGTGAAAGATTAAATATACTCCTAACGTTTCTTTTAGTTTAATTAAAAAAAATATTCTAATCAATTATCACTCCCGCCTCCCCCCGGCCAAAAAAAAATGTGTATTCTTTTATTGGGTTATATATATCTAATATCAACGGTCGACTTAGGCATTTCAAATTCAAAATTCAAAATCTCATCCTTTCTATTAAAAAAGCCTTCAAAAGAAGAACACGAAGAAGCAAATCGCCATTGAAACGCCAGAATGGGAAGACTTGGAGTGAAAACTGACTATGAAGAACTCCGAAACGCTCAAATTTTGGAAAACAAGGTCCTCCTCTCTCTCAATTTGAGTGTATCTAATTTCTGTCAATGTTAATTTGTTATAAGCTGACTTTCTTGGATTACAGGCGCGATTGGCCAGTCTTGGACTTCAAAAAACTGTGGCAGAGCTTCGATCTATCAGATCTAAACCACAATCTGAGAAGAGAAAATACAACAAAGTTGACTACTTCTCAACCCCTTTGCGCCGATCTAGTCGATTGAAAGGCAACTCTTCCGAATTGAATTCATGCGGCACTGCGCCGCTAGCGAAAAGTCTGTATTTATGTCTCTTTTCTCTTTTTTTGTTTTGGCCCCATAAGTGTGGATTTTGAAATTAGAATGTTGCCTTTTTGAAATGTTGCTTTTAGGGAAATTGGGGCTTTTTGATGAAGAAGATGATGAGGATGATATTGAGAAGAGACCAGCTAATGCACCTCTGTTGAGAGTGAAATATGGCTTAATGCTTCGTCTTACTCCGGAAGCTTTGACTCGGCGTTGCACAAGCAAGGATAGGGGAACGTTATATGACCCTTATTTGGGTATTTGCTGTCACTTTTGCAGGTTTTGAACACGCTCTTGAATACCCTTTTGCTTATTAGTTTTTTGCCTTTTGTTTTATGAAGTGTTTAAGTTCTGTGCACGGATGGTGTAAAAAATATTTCCATAATCGAGTCATTGTTATAATTATGAGCCGATATCCTTGTAAAAATTGTTAAGTAACCTGCTATAACAAAGTCACCGCTATAACCATGAGAAGGGCGGATCTAGGTGGACGGTAGGGGTTCATCCGAAACCCTTGGATCGAAAAATTACACCGTATATATAAGGTCAAATTCAATGTTTATGATTATATAGACTGAAATGAACCCCCTCAACACAACTAGGATGCATAGCTTAGTGGTCAAGGGGGTTTAGAATCTATCCAAGGTTGCAAGTTCGACACTTACTCTCTGCAGCCGCGTGCCTATACTTACTTTTAGTTTACTTAATATCATTATATATTAAGTAATCTGCTATATATGTACTGATAGTGTAGAGAATCCTTACCGTGTTAGGTATATAGATTAAAACCTTTTGTAAATCCCAGTTTCTGGTCACTCACTGTGCAGTGAATTGAGGGACTTCCCTCAAGAGTCAAGACGGCTTCTTTGTTTTCTTTTTGCTAGGATGCGTGACTTTTGCACTTGAATTTACATATATGCCAGCTTAGCTTGTCCTTACGTATCACAAAAATGCGAAGGTGTCACGCGAGGACCAATTAAAAATGATAATATGTGAATGTTAATGCAGGCAAAAGAAATTATGTGGTGAAGAAGACTGTAAGCGATGTGGTGATTCAGACATGGATCAACCTTGCTTAGGTTAGTCTTACAAGTTGTTTATTGTTTTGTGGTACTTACTAGTCTGTAAACAGACTGATGATTATAAAATTTCACATACAGGCAAGACAGATTGTTCAATTTGTCATTCTAGCCAAGGTGTTCTTTGCCGAGGTTGTCTTAAGGTTCGATATGGTGAAGGTGAGACAATAACCATGCATTTTAGATACTGAAGTTTATATGAAGTCACATGGTTTTGATCTTGAAGTCACTCATGTTGTACACACTACTCTTCACTTTATGAAATTGATTTCTGCCTTTTCACTTATGAATGTCGATTAGTACTAAATATGTGCAAATTGTACTAGAAATGGAGGATGTGAGAGCAAATAAAGAATGGATATGTCCTCATTGTACTGAAGAAAAAGGTATCAATCCATATTGGATATGTAATAGGTATGTAGTGGTTTATAAAACAGGACTAGCCGCTAGATTAGTTAAGCTCTTTTGATACTTGTTTTTTTTCTCGGTTCATGGATTGATTTCTTGTTCATGCCTGTTTACGTTTTTCTAGCTCATTGTGCCTAAAGAAACGAAAGATGGCTCCAACTGGGATCGCCATATTCAAAGGTTTGTATGTTTGTCACTAGTTTACTTGAGGTTTTGTTTGCTCATATCTGTTGTTATATAGTGTTCTAATTTCTTGTCTTTTTGTTTTCCTTTTTTTCTCTCCTTGTTGGACAAAACAGCTAGAGAGATGGGATACAAATCAGTGGCACATCTGTTAATGGATCAACTTCAGGGAGCAGTGAAGGGTTAATTATAAACTAATTTTAGTGCATTGTTAACTTCTTGTTGGTGCAGTAGAATTAGCTTCAGAATGTAAAAATGAATGTTATGAAGACCAATCACTGGTTGTGTAATGCAAGGATCCTCATTATGAAAGTTATAACACCCTTTCATTTGAGGTTATATCGAAGCAAACACTTGTGGAATTACATTGAGTATGTTGTTATCCACAACAACGATGTCAGTTTTAAAGCCACACATAAATTTTAAAAAGAATGAGATACATGTTAAAAATGGAAACATGTTGCCCAGTTTGTGATTGGGGATTTGAATGATAACATTCCTTTGAACTTATATTGTCTATCCTAATAATTTAGATTGGTTTGATTGATGAAAATTAAATAACACAATTGTTGGGTTTTACTACCTTGAATAAGAAACAATTTGTTCCTTTTTACAGATGTATACTTAATTTTGCCATAAGAAGGATACCTATCAAAATGAAAGATAAATTATAGGGAAAAAGGGTCTGAAAAATACTTTAATTTTGGCCGAAATTGTTGTTACGATATCAAACTTTATGGAGGACCTTTTACCCTCTGCACTATTTAATAGTGTATTTAAAAGGTATATATGTGCCCACGTGAACACATTATTATTTATATTTATGATGTCCACGTGGGCATATATACACTATTAAATAGTGTAGGGGGGGTAAAAGGTCCTTTCCAAAGTTTGATATCGTTATTGCAATTTCGGTCAAAATTCGAATATATTTCAGATCATTTTCCCTAAGTTATATAAACAACTATAAGACTCGCTATGTTATATGGCAGTGAATGTTGGACTGCTAAAATCCAAGATATCATGTTATAGAGATGCAAATGTTAAGATGGATATATGATCATACCAAATTAGACAGGATTAGAAATGACCACTTTCGTCAAAAGATGCAAGTAGCACACATTGGGAATAAAATGTGAGAAGGTCGCTTGAGACAGTTAAGACATGTTAAGTAGGGGTGGGCATAAATTTTGGAAAATCGAATCGAACCGAATTAATTTGATTTTTTGCTTCGATATCTGTGTTATTTTTTCAAAAGTTTGATTCTTTGATTTGGTGTTCGATGTAAGGTTCTTAGAACTTTGGTGAATCAAAGAACCGAACTTTTATTTAAAAAAATAGAAAAATAGTAATTATATATATCTTTATCAATGTACATAATGTAAAGGAACCCGTCTTCGTCCTTGTTTTTCTTGAGAAGTAGTTGAAGGCACAATGTTCTTGACAAAAAATAAATATAGTCTTTTAGTTAGCACAATAAATGTTCCATGGAGAGACACAACATTCCTTAACAAAGTTTTAAATTTTTAAGTATCTTATAATTTGATTTTGTACTCATTTTATTTTTCATCCGGATGGAAAAACCGAAAAAAGAGTAAAAAATCAGCTTTTGTCGAGAGTATATATAATATAATATAATATAATAGGACTATAGGAGTAGAAGAAAGAGGAGGGAAAATTGCCATTGAAAACCTAAAAGGCCATCAATGGGAAGGCTAAAAGTAAAACCTAACTATGAAGAACTGCGAAATGCTCGAATCTTGGAAAATCAGGTTTTTCTTCTCTCTCTCCATTTTCTCTCAATGTTAAATTGCAAATAGTAGCTGATTTTCATGGGGTATTGTACAGGCTAGGTTTGCCAGTCTTGGACTTCAAAATATCTTGGGAGAGCTTCGAACTAAACCAGAGAAGAGAAAACACAACAAAGTGGACTACTCCTCCGCCCCTTTGCGTCGTTCCAATCGATTGAAAGGCGACTCTGCACCATCATCAAAAAGTTTGTGTTTTTATGTGTATTTACTGTATGAAAATGTTTGTGTTTCTTTGTATATTGATTTTTCATGGAGATTGTGTCTTTTTGAAGAGGGAGATGATGGCATAAAGGAGAGCCTTAATCAAGAAGCTTTGGTTCAGCGTTCCAATCGATTGAGAGTGGGAGTTTGCTGTCACTCCTGCATGTATTACACTCTTGCCAAACTTTTTACCATTGATGTTGCAACTTACAGTTTTTTATCGCTCACTGTTCGATGAATTGACTGACTGAGGTCTGAGCAAGTAAATTTTAGATATTCTGATGGTTGGCCCCTTGGCTTGCTGTTTGCTATGATCCTTTTGAGGTTGAGTTTACATTTCATTTTTAGTAACTAGCCCAAGTTTAAATGGGTTGGTTGTGTTGACCTAATGGAATGAACTTGATTACCCATCAAACTATTAGATCAAAAGGGGTCATATAATACATCCCCAAACATATACATACAAAATCAAATTTGGAGAGTGGAATGGATGGACTTAAGCTAATAGTTTAAGAAGAATATATTAGTTTTCACATTTTTCAATAATCAAAATACAAAAGGAGAGGAGATTAGGTTGTGTTATGACAATGTTATTTGACGCATCTTTGCCCAACCTGTTCTGAACCAAGTAAACTTTATGCGGGTTGGATTGTGACTTTGACATTTTGACCTGCCCAAGTTTGGCCTAACTCGCACATCTATCACCATTCACCTATAAGCTTGTGCTTGTGTGCCACTGGTATTTTGTCACTCTCTTATCAGTTGAAAATGATAATTTGTGAATGCTAATGCAGGGAAAAGAAATTTTGTGATGAAGAAGATTGTAAACGTTGTGGTGATTTGGACATGGATCAACCTTGTTTAGGTTGGTCATACAAAGCACTTTTCCTTTCCGTAAACTAATTTGCTGGCATACTGATGAGTCTAAAATTTCCCATACAGGCATGACGGATTGTTCAATTTGTCATTCTAGCAATGGTTTTCTTTGCCGAGAATGTCTTAAGAATCGATATGGTGAAGGTGAGGTAATAGATATGCATTTTAGAAACTAAAAGTCAAAGCATAAAGCATTTGCCATGACTCACTAACCGTTACTCTTTTGTTCTGTTTAATTTAAGGCCTAACAATGGGAACTCTGTGAAATTGATCTTTGCTTTTTCATTTATGAATGTCGATAAGTACTAATACCGTGCAAATATGTGATAGAACTGGAGGAGGTGAGAGCTAACAAAGAATGGATATGCCCTCATTGCACTGAAGAAAAAGGCATCAATCCGTATTGGTTCTGTAACCGGTACGTAGTGGTTATATAAAACAGGTCTAGGTGATTGTGAAGTCAACTTCTTTTGATATTGATACTGGCAAATTTCATTTGGCTTTTTCTTGCTCATGGATCAATATCTTACTCATGTTTTTCTAGGTTATTGTGCCTAAAGAAGCGAAATATAGCTCTAACCGTGAACACATTTAAAGGTTTGTATGTCATCACTAGTTTCACTTGAGGTTTTGTTCTTTGCTCTGAGATTTTGTCTAATTTCTTGTTGGATCTTTGAACAAAACAGCTAGAAAGATGGGATACAAATCAGTGGCACATATGTTAATGGATCAGCTTCAGGGAGCAGTGAAGGGTGGAGATGATAAGCTTTTTGGTTAATTCCAAACTTTTTAAGAGCTACATGGGCAGTAGAATTAGCTTTTGAATGTAAAAATGGAATGTGTTGTAATGGCGTGGATCCTTATGTCTAAAGATGTTTTCCACCAGTATTTTGTACCTGATATGTATTCGGCTAATTCAGATTTGCATTGTGTAACTGACTAGTCTATATTCACGTCTCGTTATCCTTTTACGTAAATCATTACTCCACATATGTCTTTCATTTTTTATAAAAAAACTTTAATTCGATATTAAGGTTAAAAGAAAGAGGTCATTTTTTTTAAACAGACTAAAAAAGAAAGGAGGTCATTCTTTTTGAAACGGAGGGAATAGTAATAAGATAGGTATATTTATCAGACCATTTCCAAATCCACCTCTATTTTACTCTCCATTTTCTATATTTGGAGAGTAAAATAGAGAATGGGTGCTCCAATCCACCTCCAAATCACTCTCTATTCTTCAAATACTCTCTATTTCACTTTTTCAATATTTTATTATTTCCATTATTTTTTAATTAACATATTATTTTACATATAATTTCATTAATTAAATATCTAATATTCATAATTCTTTTTAAATATAATATAATATTTTNNAAGAAATATTTCGCGATGAAACAAGAATGGTGCCGAAAAGATGTTGAACATGCATTCGGAGTTTTGCAATCACATTTTGCAATTATTGCAGGACCGTTATGTTTTTGGAGAAAGGAAGTGCTACATGATATAATGACTACATGTAATATATTGCACAACGTGATAATTGAGGATGAACGTGATTTTAATGCATCAATTCAAGGTGTCGTAGAGGCTCCAACTCCCACGACAGAAATTGTGGTAGATGAAAACCTCCGGTTTGAACAATTTTTAGCTAGAAATAAAAAAATTAAGGACAAAAATGCTCATTTTGAACTCCGTAATGCATTAATAGAGCATTTATGGGAGCAACGTAATAATTTCGAAAATTGAATGTTTATGTAATTGTATTTCACTTTTATTTGAATTTGTCCATTAATTTATATATTATATAATATTTTCTTGCAATTTATAGTATTTAGAATAAAATATAATTTTATATTAAATAAAAAAATTGAAAAATAAATTTTTGTATCAAATGAGAATTATATAAAGTAATTATTGGAAAAGAAACAAATAATTTATATTATGAAATAAGAAAAGGCGAAATGGTCTGGAGGACCGTTATACTTGTATCAGTTTGTATTCTGAACCCTTCTACTTACACATTTGTCATCTGGACCCTTTCTATAAACTGATACAAGTATAAAAATGAAATAGAAATAATAATATAATATTGAGGAGAAAGATTTTTTTTTTTTTTAGAGAGTAAAATAGAGAATTGAGTTGGAGTTGATTGTCTAAAAAAATAGAGAACTCTATATATTTGGAGAGTAAAATAGAGTGAGGTTGGAGATGCCCTCATAAGCTTGGTGGATAAAATAAAAAAGGAAAAAGAAAAAAAGTAAACCCTTTTTGTCCCTTGGAGAGAGGTTTTACTGCCTTGCTTCTCTATTGTTCCTTCTCGGAACCAAACACCGGCCTTTAACCTCTAGATTCCGGCCGGCGATGCCGGCTATCCATAACCATAACTGGTTCCATACTGCTTCGAATATCAATACGAATTGTTCTTTCTCGACCTTCAGCTTCCCTAAAACCCTCACATTTTCAAACTCCTTATCTCATTCTCTCAAATTCGTCTCTCCTAACCCGTTCTTCGTTAACCGAAAACGACGCGGCTTTGTGACTATTAATGCAGCTGCAAAGTCGTCCAGCTCCGACCTATATTCAGTTCTTAATGTTAGTAGAAATGCAACGCTCCAAGAGATCAAAGCATCTTATCGCAAGCTTGCTCGCAAGGTATACTCATCTATTTGCTTATTGTTTTTGGCTTTGTCATTTGTAAGTTGTTATTATTACATTATTCTCTGCCTTGTGGCAACTGCTTTTTGGCTTCATAATCATTGTATTTACTTGAAAATAGTATCATCCTGATATGAATAAAGGGCCTGGAGCTGAAGAAAAATTTAAGGAGATTAGTGCTGCATATGAGGTAACATCCTGCTTCCCTCCAAAAAAGTTTCCTTTGTTTTTTTTGTTAGGGCATTTTATGTTGAATTGATAATATAATGAAATTTTGCATTACACTTGGCATCCTTAATTTGGTAAAAATTTAGTTTTGATCTTTTTCTTTCATTGTTTTCAATTTGACTACAAAGTGTATATTTAGGTATTATCAGATGATGAGAAAAGGTCTTCATATGACCATTTTGGTGAGGCAGGGTTGCGAGGAGAATATAATGTGCCGGGTGGCGGTCCACAGGGGGTAAAGTACTGACCTTTGTTTATATTCTCATAATTTTCATATATATTTCAATGTTTCTTCATGATGACTGGTATCTGTCCCCACATGATTATCTGATCTCTTAGGTGGACCCTTTTGAAGTGTTTTCTGAGTATTTTGGCGAATCAAGTGCCTTTTTTGGAGGAAGTGGCGGATTGGGAGGCTTCAACTTTGATTTCAAGAATACTGGAAGGCAGAATCTTGATATTCGGTGAGTATCGAAGCTTATTTGCTTCTGAAACTATGTATATCTGTATATCTGGTCTGGGTGATATTAGGATATGTTTCATGCAGAAAACATACTGTTTTGAGATGATGATTCCCATTGTAGTTGTATCTTTCTCTGGGCACTTTCTGCTTACTCTCCCCCCACCCCAAAAAAGAGTATCTACCACTTCTTTATATGTAGTAACATTCGTTGCTGAGGAGAGTTGTAGCCCTTATATACCGCTGGATGAAGGTTTGTATAAGCTTCCATGGCTTCACCTGCATCAATGAAATTTAAGCAAGAAAATTGAGGAAAAGAAAATAGAATAACTTCTCCATCAACATTGGTTTGTTTTATGCGTGAAGTAATTAAGGACGAGAGGAAAAAGTTTAATTTTATCTTCCTTCGTAGTCTGTCTTTTTCATTAACCGAATATGTGTTTGATGATTTTTCTTGTCTTTCAGTTATGACCTTGATTTGAGCTTTGAAGAGTCTATATTTGGAGGGCAGCGAGACATCGAAGTACCCTGTCTCGATGAATGTGATAGTTGTGATGGGACTGGTGCTAAATCTAGCAGATGTGTTAAAGTCTGTTCTGACTGTGGTGGAAGAGGAGGAGTGGTGAAAACACAGAAAACGCCTTTTGGAATCATGTCTCAGGTATTTTCACATACTTGCATGAGAAATTAGTAATTGTCGAATGCCATTGTAGTCACTTCTTTTGTTATTCATCTTCTTTTTATCTTACAATCTAAACTGATTTCTTGTTTGAAATGCTATTTTGTATGTGTTCTTTTCCCCAACTTTTACCACAAAATTTGCAAGCTTGTATCTTTTGTTGATTAATGGACATGATCACATGGGTGTTTTTGCTGAGGGATTCTCTGTATGAAAACTTTAGACTTTGTTCTATATACAGACTATTTGTTCTCTATGATTCCCTTTGTCCTAAAAGCATAGTCCTACTTCCTTTTTAGCTCATCCCAGAATAGTGTCCACTTATCAAGGGAAGAAAAATCCGAAATTTCCCTTTGTCCATTTTCTTGGTCTTTTTTTTTACTTGGCACAATCATTAAGATGATGGTTCACATCTTAAGATGATGCTTTTTTACTTAGTCTGCTTTCAAGAGTATTATGATGATGCTTGAACCTAGCCCTCTTTTGGACACAAGCATTAATACCTTTCAATGCTTGTGCCCCATATTAAGATGATGTTTTCTTACTTGGAACAAAAGAGGGCTACTTTTTTGAACTTTATCACCACTGGTTTGTCAATTGTCATGACAAGTTTAATATGACCTTTGTACTATTTCCGGATTAACTCATATGAGGTTACTGTCATTCACCTATGGCAAGTAATGTACACTACTGTTTCAAGATAGTGGAACTTTCAAAGAAATACTATTTTTCTCTGATCACTAAATGGCTTATTTATTCTGCTCAATGTTTTATTTTGTTTAAGCACAAAATAAAAGTTCTCTCTGCACATCCAACCTGTGTGTTATTTTGAACAACTTGCTGCTATCTACTATTTTAGTCTGCTGGTCCTTCTTGGCTGGCTTTCTAGATGCTGATTCATGTTTTCAGGTGTCTACATGCTTGAAATGTGGAGGTAATGGAAAGATAATAACTGATCATTGTCGAAAATGTGGTGGCCGTGGTCAAGTACAATCAAAACGAAGTATCAAAGTGGTTGTTCCACCTGGAGTTCATGATGGAGCCACGATGCAAGTTCGAGGAGAGGGTAACATTGACAAGAAAAGGTCACCGTTAATTAAAGTTCCTAGTTCATGTGATTTTATGTAGAAACTTAATGCTTTGACCAAATGTGGTCAATTCACAAGAAAATCTGCAGTATATGCAATTTGAACTTTTAGCTTAATTGAACTAATACATAGTATTATGATTGTCAGCAACATGCTCCTCTGAGTCTAAGTACATGTTTGATTTGCCTGCTCTGCTCAAAATGTTGCCTCTGCTGCTTGTTATTAGTTATAGATATTGGTATTATGTGGATACTTTCTAGGCTGGGTATTCTCTTCTTTCTGATTTGCTGTTAGTGTTTTCTGTTTGATTCTATGTGTGAAACAAGTGCATTAGATCATGAGAATGCAGAAGATTTTGAGGAAGTCCGAGTCACAAAATGAAGCATATCCTCATTGTAGTAGACATGTAATTATTTAAGAAAAAGTAAGAAGAAGTTCAAAGGAACATGCGCTTAGGAGCTAGCTTAGTTGTTTTGTTTGTTAATATGCCCAAACTTCTTGAGGTTTTACCTCTCACCTAGGTTAGAAAGTGTGCGCAACTCAACCTTTTCTGTTCTTTCTCTTATTCTGTTTCTCTTTGCAACTTTTTATGGTTCTTTTGGGAGGTGAGTTGGGTATTCAAATAGCCTCAGAGAGATAGATGTGGAATTGCGGATATGTTTTTCTCCTTTTCACAATTATCTTCACATCTTGGCTTGGTCTTCTTTGCAGTAGTATGTCTGGTGACCTCTATTTGGTCATCCATGTTGAAGAAAAACGTGGTATTTGGAGGGATGGTCTCAACCTGTACTCAAAGTTAGATGTTGATTTTACTGAGGCCATTCTGGGGACGGTTAAGAAGGT